ATATAGTTTTTAAAAGTGCCTTTTTCTTTGCAGAAAATTGCACATTGTCTGTATATTGCATATTGCAGCTTTAAAAGCTCTGAAGGAATTGCGTGCGGAGGTTCTCAATTTTTTCAATGAATTCTACAGAAATGAGCGGACCAGTGAGGTTGCCACAGATTCGAAAGAAATGACTTTCAACAGGTCAGAATGGAAGAGGCTTTATTTCATTTCAATTACGCAACTAAATGTTGTAAAACTTTCTGTTGAAAAGTCAGTAGAAGCGCGAAATTTCGGTGCTGAAATATGGTTCTTGAATTTTGTGTCACTTCTGTTGTAGAAGCGCAATGCTCTGTAAATATCTGGATTCTTTCTTCTTAAAGCACCTATTGTAGCATAGCACCATATTGTTATGAATTTTGGTACTTCTATTGTGCCAACGATATTTTCAGGTGAATATATATGATTAGGCAATTTATAGATCGTCTATCTGAACCCTGAAACCTCGCTACGGTAATAATGTCAAAATTATGCTGGAATTTCCTGATATGGAGCATAACACGGCAACGAATTGAGCGCCTAACGTCGGAAATGTGACGGCGTTTCTTTTGCGATGTTCGGAACAATTGGCTTAACTCTAACGGCTTTCCTCTCACAGGAGTCGCGTAGCAGACCTAGGAATAGAACAGTAGTCTTTGCTCGATACAAGTTGCAGTCGTCTCGAGTCGTGACCATAGTCTATAAATTATGAATAAAAGTGCGAGAAGGGTTGTGCTAGTAATCGTCAGTAGAATACGGCAAAACAGGAGCTCGAAAAGAAGTCAAACTGGAAAACGTGGAGCAGTTGTCTTTTGACAAACATAATTGCGCGTTATGAACGCGGAAAAAAAAGGAGGGGGGCGGGGTGACTAGGAGTGACATTTTTTACTTAGGTAGTGGGTTTTTTTCACGTTCTAGGCTTTTTAAATATGAACATTGTTGAGCACTCACGGTTAAATGTTATGCAGCATTATAGGTTTTAGTGGTAATGACACCACTTCCCACGCGCACGGTCCATTGGTCAAATCGGGCCGAATCTCACCTAGGCCATCCAAGGCTTCAAGCCCTTCTGCGTTGAACGATTGGTATAAGGCATATTCGAAAAAATAAACTTCTGCATCGGCTGACCAGCACAAGTCACTGAGTGGGCCATACCGCCTTTAGGAGTAATGCAGTTTGAATGGAGGTAGAATGTGTGGTGCATAAAAAGGGATTGATCAACGTGATCAACGTGGAAGCTTTATTTTTTATCGTATTACCTCAAGGTTTTATGTGAAAGAGAACATTAACAGCATTCTACATGTGCATGCTAAATTGGAACCGCATTACAGACACAGACTTAGTGACAGTCGTATCGAGGGCGCCTAATGTGCGTGCTGTTCTTGTGCTTCATAATCCGGGTGCGGCACCAACGCCTTTATTTTTGAGCATACTTATGATGACATGGAAGTGGGTGGGAGGAGGGTGATAGAAGTATCTCTAATATTCTAATTCCCCTCTACTATTAAAATGTGTTTTGCGAATACGATCCCGCATATGGCTCCGCTTCACAGTACGATCGCAGAACAAAAACTTGAAAAAGGATATCTGAATGAAATTCATCTTGCCCAAAGTTGGGAGAATGTTCAACATAGATGATCTTGCAAAAAATGGTAACGTCGGCGCAGCACATAGCTAGTATCAATCGTAAAGATAGCTTGCCATGCGTTTCGTTTGTTTTATTTCTCAATCCAATCGTTTCATCTGTTTCCATCTCAGCTTCGTGTCTCGAAGGTTTCGACCTCGACGAAGCCACCCGTCTGGAGACGATTCTGACGCATGCATTGAGGCACGAAAGCAATGCGACGCGCCTGGAGGTTATTAGGTCGTAAATTTTCATTCTGGCCAACTTTTCGAAGGACTCGTCCTTTTTAAAGGCCTGGCTCAAAGCTTACGAATTGCACATTATCCTACCAAACGCCTCCTACGCTACTAGCGTTTCTGACGTTCTGTCAGGAAAAAGCACACAGTTCAAAAGACAAGCTCACCTTCTACTACCGCGAAGTGTAGAAGGATGCTACACATAGTACATTGGTCGCGAATGGCCTTGCTAGGCGATAATAGTTGGTCGTGAAAAGATCTCGTGAAATTGCAACTGCTAATAATGTACTGACTGTGGGTAGCACACTGCTACACCTTCGTGATGGTGAAAGTTGAGCTTATATTTCGAATTTTGAGTGTTTTCCGAGCGTTCCCGTCAGAAATGCTGGAGCGGAGGACACGTTTGGTGGGATAGTGTGCCATTCGTAAATTTCAAGCCATTTTATGTCTTATGAAAACGACGAGTCCGTCGAAACGTTGGCCAGAATGAAAATTTACGGCCTAACAACCTCCAGGCAGAAGTATAAACACAACTACGTTCCGAGGTTATTTTAGGGCTACGGAAATCTATAAACATCTGGAGCAGCTGGCTTACTCAGTCAACATGAAGCCCTCGAACTCCTTGTTCTCGAGTGTTATCACGTCTGTATTTAATAACGTGAGTCCTGGTCCACGGTAAACGTGAGATTTGTACATAACCTGTGGTGGTCTCGTAGTAGCAGTAGTTATTTCTACAGTGCTGCCAGTAGAATTTATTTCGTCTCTCACATTATCTTTTTAGTTGCTGTAGAGGACCGTTGAGAGTAAGTTGCCAGCTTTAGGTCACACCATTTGATTACGGTCCAGCTGTCGGTGAGGAGGATTTTCTCGTTTGTTCAGGCTTCGAAAATGCCTCGCAGGTTCCATCAAATTTTTGATGCTTCGCAGTTAGACTAATGTTCCATTGAATTCTTCGAATCCCTCGAGCTTGGAAAGCTGAGATTTTTTTTAGATTTTTGCTTCTTATTACATTGACTGCATATCCGCGATGGATTACTATAGAATAAACCGCTATTTTGCACCTCCACTAAAGCACTTGGAAACTCCGGAACAAGTTGAGATATGGATTAATTTAGCTAGTAGAAGAGTTCGCAAGACTGGATCGTTTTAGGACAGCGCCAAGCTTATGGCAATGTTTGATGAGCTGAAGTCTAGCAAAGGGTTATTGCAGCGAAACATTAAAGTAACTTCAGTTGTTCGCATACCTTTTCGAGAGATAGTTGTTGAGGTGAGTCTGTCTTGTACTCAGAGACGGGGTTTGCAATGAGAGACATTCTGCACTTCACAGTAAATCTTTGCAGAAAGGCAACTTACTGTAATGTAATTAGGCTGATATCGGTTAAGAATTGATCCTAATAATGAAGTCGGCAATTCTGCAGAACTAGTGTTTTTCCATGAATGACAGAAGTAAGCGACTTGTTACGCTAGTCCGGCCGCGGTTTTTGACCTTATTATGCAGCTCTACAAGCTTCATCTTCCTCGAAATTGTATTTTATAATCCTCCCTACTGACACGTATGTATATTTAATCGATTTTGCGGATTCCACAATCCCTGCAGTACTGCCGGCTACGCATTTTTGTTAGTAGAAAGAGAACCTCAAGCCTAATATTACACCTAAATTTTGCATTCAGGCTAAAATAGGAGCTGTGCAAGATGAGCATTTTGTACCACAGATGAAGTTAAACTTGGTATTTCTTAACGCTGAACTTGCTGTAGTTCGTATTGGAGCTCCAAAGGAAACACTGTGGTCTGAGGTATGAAGTTTTGCAAGTATTTGGGTGATGCGTGAACGGGTTTCATTTGCTTTTTCTCCAATTTTTTCCAGTGCGCCATCATTAACATTTTGTGCAAAGAGTGGTAGTGTTGTGTATAACGTTCTGCCAGTCTTGCGACACCCACGGTTTTTGACCCTATTATGCAGTTCTGTAGTTGAAATTCATTATCAAGCACGTGAACACTACCATTGCTTTCCATTAAAATCTGTCAATGTGCTGTCCACGCACTCACTGTGCTTCGTCCAGAGTGTTCAGTAAGCACAAGCTAAGTCCTTCGAGGGTGGTCGCCCTCGCGTCACGGCGGCGTTGATCAAGGCTCTGACGAAGGCGAAGAAGCCGAAACGTTAGCCTAATAAAGTTACCTAATCTTGGACGGCTACAGTCAAGTACCATCTGATCCAATTTTCACCTCACCCATATACGGCAGACGTTTTAACACACTCGAATGAAACAATCTTCGTTGACGTGTGATGTGCTTTTTTTCGAGATCACCCTGACTTAGCTGGCCTCCCCATTCTACTTTGTATACCTAATCTCACAATTCTGAATAGAACTGTTAGGTTGTCCCATAATTAGTGAATCACTTTGGGTATTTTTGAATTCAATTTTTTTCTTTTTATGTGAAGTCTTTGCTCATCCAAACATACACCTCTGTCATCTACAATGTATTGCCTATACAAGGAAATTTAGTCGCTGTCTTATCTCTAGAATTCCAGGAGCTATTGATCGAAGAAAGATCGGAAGTCGAGTTTGAGGTCATGTCACTTAGCGTAAAATTTCTTCCTGGGAAGAGCGCTAGAGGTCAGACTGAGTTGTCTTTGTTGGCACGAGGATAGGGCCACACAGAGGAGGTGAAAGAACTGCTAGCCTGGAAGTCTCCAATTTTTTATGAATATTCTCCGCAAGGTGGGGTCGAACGACCTCAGGAAAAAAGCAGACTTTGTCTTGCTTTACTTTCAAATTGAACGCGTCGCCATTACGCTGTAGATGTTGATCTTCTTCAGTGACCCTAGTATTACTGGGCGGCGGTTCCCAGCGCATGGTCACTCTCGTGCTCCACCAATATCTCGGAAGGGTCGGACTCGAAGGAGGTTCGGCTTTTGCTGTCAGAACTCCCGAATCGTTCATGCTAGGCTACTGCTTTTGGAGATTTGCTAGTACACTTCACCCAGTCCAGAACCCTGGTGAATATGCTGGATGATCACTGTAAGGAACTAAGGGAGATCAGAAGGAACATGATGTCAGATCGTGTGTGGAGCTGTTTCGGGCTCAGAGCATACAAGATACAAACTAAATATTTTAAAATCTTTACAACTCTACGTAGATGTCTACATTCCATCATTTTAACAAGTCGGACATGCTCTAGCAAATGGCGACTAGTTTGTCCAGATCCACCCTCAGTGGCGCTGGGTACAGCAGTGAGATTGCCAGTTGAGGGGTAGTTGGAGTGTGGGTCATCTTCAACTAAAAAAGCCAACCTCTCGATAGAGTGAACTACAAGCAGACCGTGGATTGAGGGAGCGTGCCCTCGCCTATCTGCTGGTTGATTCTCTATGTTGTTGGGCGTTTGAAAGATCCTAATCAGAAGTGATTAAGAAGGGAGCTCAAAAATAGGTTCCAAAAAAATTGAAGTACAGCTATGGAAGGCAGCATGTAAACGGGCTGAGTACAGGGTGGTCCAAAATTATGAGGACCGCGTGCGCGCGCAGTCATATCCACTTTTTTCCGTATCGCTCCATTTTCATCTCGTTTTCTGTGCACTATGTGAAAGGGTACAATGTCTTCTTCCTAATGAAACCAATTTCATGAAGTTCTCAAAACTAGTGAAATAACTACTTCACTTTGAGTCAGTCCTCAAATTGAACTCACTAGGGCTCTGGCACGTTACATCTAGCAGCAGTCTAACCTATCAGGGAAGCTCTTATGAGCAACAGTTCAACTCTTCAATAAGTTGGAACCACCACAGATGGAAAATTCGGGGACTCGAAAGTTACAGTTACCACCAGGATAATTATCAGATGCAGAAACTAGGTCTCCCCTTGTCGACTTTCGTACACCCAAAATGAAAAAATTGATGTGAAAACCCAGCCAGACACTCTAAAGACTCCACATCTGTAGTGGATAGAAAGCCACACGAGTAGTCTACTTGGGACTTTTTACAGGACCGAGCACCCAAGAATAAAGCAAAAATTCTCTAAAAAGCGATTTTTCGAGTTCGTTGCTTTCGAAGAATTGTTACAATGGAACCTCCACCTAATAGCTCTAGATTTCTGTATTTCACACCCTGGATGCAAGCGCAAATAAATGCCCACAAAAGTTTGATTCCCTGAAGAAGGCAGAGCAGAAGGCCTGGAAACATTTGGACACGCCTTAGTTGCGTGCCACCGCACGCGCCATCCCCCTCATCTGAAGGCTCGTGTTAACGGGGGAAGTGGCAGATCTCAATTCTATTCTGGAATTACTTTGAGGTAAGAGTTACAAATACTTCCCAGAAGTTGGTTTGTTCCATCAAGCTACTATGCGTTTTTAACGACACAATGTCTTGGTCCTCATAATTTTGGACCACCCTGTAATTGCTCAGGTAGGATAATGTGGGTGCTACTTCGCAAAACATGTTTCACGCCTTCACCATTTTCTTGGATTTTTATAGCAATAAATGTAAAGTGATTCACTAATTATGGACAACCTAATGGAATGCGAGGTCGTTCTCAAAGAGGTATTGAAGCCAATTCTTCTCATGCTTATGTTTATGACTGGATCGAAGTCGTTCTGTTGCTAGAGGAGCGGCTGTGCGCTGCACGTGTATCCTCATCCTGTCCATTTTAAGGATTGTAAAGGTCAAGCTGCGTTCAAATGCTACTGCGATTTTGAGTGGAATTGAAGCGCAAGGGTATCCGCAGAATTTTGATTAGCTACGAATTTTTTATCCCTTTATTATGTGTACATGAGCAGTTCATCCCTCGAGGGTCGATAGGCATCAGGATAGGACGCTTGCGTGATCTCCGCCAGTTCTTGTGCAAGCCAGATAGCTTTCAAATACATTCACGGTTCTGAATGGGAGTGGATCGCAATTCCGAAAAATTTCACCTCACTAATTTTTTCGTGATCACTCCTTGCTTGTTAGATACCATTTTAACAATTTCCGATTTCCTTATGACGGAGATCTGCCTCAGGTAACAGACTTCTTAGCAATTTAGTAGTACTCCTTTGTCCTCAGTTTGAGGACCAAGTAGTACTACTGAATTGCTGAGAAGTCTGTTACCTGAGGATATTTGCTTCCCACTTCTTTCACACTATTAGATTTTCCTTCATTTTTTTCGTTTAGTGAGAAAAGAGGTTAGCGCAACTCTAAATCTATGTATAATGATTTTTTGTAAGCCTACATTGAGTGCTTGGTTGAAGCAAGCGAATGTGCCTAAGCGATCATGTGAAATGGTCGTTTTTGCTGTTTTCCTCTCCGTTATTGCCAGATGTTAGGCCGCTGAGGGGTTCCCCTTGCTAGCCTCTACTAGTAAACAATCGATATGGACATGTACACGGAACCACGCGCACCCTATGTATAATCTCGTACTTACTGAAATACATCCTTACTGGATTGTTGTTCAGGAGAACGATTGTCACTCGAAGTATGAGGTGTTCAAGAAGATGAGTCGTTCTGCAGCGCATTGTTTGCTTGGGAAATATAACTTGAAAAAAATTCCGTAAGTATCGGATGATGGATTTGTTTTCAAGTGATGTTTCGTCATTCCTTCATAGCCTGTGCTAGTTTTGTTTTTCAGGAACTTGTCTGTTTTTATTTCTATCCTCTCTTTTGTTCAACTTTTTACAACTTGCTTTACATCGCCATGTCACGTTTGTCAGTGAGTTTATAATTTCCGGCTGATTTCTAAATAGTTCAGTAAGAGCGATCTGAAGTAGTAGACATAAAACATAGATCAATTTCGAGGCAGTCCTAACAAGGGCATAGTGCTGCTCGTTTGGCAACGTCGTTCCTTGGCGTTTTCGTTCCACTTCTTTTTTTGCTGTTTCCGATTACTCCATTATTACTTGTTCCATTCCACTACACTACCTATAAAAAGCGAGGCGATGGTAGGGGCACATTTACGAACTTTCCGATGCAGCCTAAATTTTTCTCAAGTAGATCTTCAAGAGGGTAGCTTCTTTTCATTGCAAGTAATTTTTTGAGATTTTTGACATGATTTGAACCGCTCTAATCGTTTCTTTTAATTTACTGCTTTGATCTGCGCAGAACCTTTTTTTTCGATAGAACAATGGTTTTAGGGGTGCAGTCTTCTGTGCTAGCAGTTGTGGTTGAGAACTCATATGAGATCAAAAGAATATCTGAATCTAGACTCTCTACATGGAGGATAAATGCAATGCAGCGTAGGCTTCCTAGTTTCCCAAGTAGAATATTTGTATTTGTTTTCCTTCGCCCTCCAATACCTTGACCGGCCTAAAAACTTCCTTTTCCGGATTGCAGCAGTTTAATAGGTTTCTAACCGCTAGCAGCCGCTTTTCGAAAACTTAAATGTTTTCGCTTCGCCCTGCCGTCCTGGTTTCAAGTTCCTTGTATACATCTTGGAAAAGCTTCAAGTGATCTATAACCTTTATTGGGGAGCTCCTGACACCCACTATTCTGCAGATATTTTGAAGCGATCAAGCATGGTGATCAGAAATATGGACTGTCTTTGTCTGCCGCTCAGTGCCGACCTCGGCCAAATTGTCGACTCTGTCCTGCTAGAAGAAGGGAACTGGGACTTAAAGTACCGATCGGGCGCCTCTTTCAGCTGAATCTTCTCGATTTTGCCCCTTTCGGAGGCACTATATGTGGTGTAAGCATAAGAAATTGTGAAGGGCTAGGCTGGAGGGATCTGATTAATCGCCATTAACCCCGATCACAGTCGTGGAGCGGAAGTCGCCATAACCCCCAGTACGGCCTCCACCGATGAGCCAACCCAAACTGAGTTGGGAAAGTCGCCGACTAGTGTTTCTCTAGATTTTTTACAGCTCTGATCCCACCCTACTCAACTGCTGTCTCTGGCCACCTTTAGCATCTTGCATGGAAAAATTTCAAGACAGGGCAAGGTGCGAGAGGTTTTCCACGACCTTTTTACCCTCCCCCCACCTCCCGTCATTCCAACAGGAGAACCGACAAGCTGTGCAAGCGTTGCCATCTAGGAGAATGAGGTGTGCACACCTCTGATCAGACATTTTGGTTACTGAAAAAGTGTCGGGATTAGGAACTTCCGATTTTCCTAGTAATATTTTCTAAAATATCGAATCAGAGTCACGTAACGTCTGATAGAAGTGATATTGGAGATTAGAGAGATCAGAATATAACCTAGAGATAACAAGAGATCACCTTCCGATTGGGAATCTCTTGACAACCCAGCTGGTCATAAAATGAGGCAGCCGTCGTAACTAATTGAGTGTTGGCAACTACGAGGATGTCTTGGTACCGTGCATTCGTGCACGGACATTTTCGGGAAGCTGGTTGCATAAAAGAGAATCCTTGATATTTCTATGAAATTTCAGCGGCACTGATTTAGAATATTCCATTGACTGTTGAGGAAATTAAAAATGACCGATCAAATTTGCAGAAAGTCTATGCGTGACTTTCTCCCACCGGTTCTTCTCAAAGAATATCGTCCTGTACCGATATTTGTCCACGAGGATTGTGGCTACAGTTGACGTGATCACTACGGCACTTCCATTTCATCTACGATGGAATCTTGTAATTTTTGCATGCCTTCACCTCCTCTACTCAGAAAGCATTTTGTCGTAACCTTTTCGGTGGTCGCGCCAGTTTCAGTCGCTTTAGCGATTTACGGTTGTTCTCGAATGCTCTTCTTCATTTCCTATCTCTCCAGTTTATTATCTTTAATTGATCTTTCTATTTTGTTAGATTGACAAGATTTTTGCTTCCCATCATTTTTTCTCTTCGATTATAGCTATTCCACAATAGTTTTGTTGAGTATCGCGTTTTTTTTGTTCACGTCCGTTCAAAAGTGCTCTTTCTTTTCTCTC